GAGGAACCGGCCTCAAGCTGCCCCAGGGCAGGTTTAGCTGGAGCTGAGGAACAATTCCTTGCCCAGAGGGTGCTCAGGCATTGGAACAGGCTGCCCAGGGCAGGGCTGGAGTCACCGTCCCTGCAAGTGTTCCCAGCCCGTGGAGCCGAGGCCTCAGTGCCAGGGGTCAGTGGTGGCCTTGGCACTGCTGGGAATGGTTGGGCTGGAGGAGCTTAAAGGGCTTTTCCAACCCAGATGATTCTGTGATTTGAAGTCTGTGAAGACCTTACAGGGATGCAGAAATGGTCAACCAGGAGGTGGGTTATGTCTGGGCTGCAGTCACTGTTGCTGCTGGAGGAGCCTCCTGTGTCCCTCCACACCACAGAACAGCTGAGAAAACACTCTTGTTCCCTGTAATTGGTGATGGGCTGGGTCAGTATCCCATAAATCCAGCCTGTGCTGAGCAGCTGCAAGTACTTTTATTGAGGAGGCACATGGAGATAGAACAGAGGCTGATGCAAACCATCAATGTTTAATTGCAGAATCCCAGCCTGGTTTGGGTTGAAGGGACCTTAAAACTCATCCAGCTCCAACCCCTGCCACGGGCAGGGACACCTTCCACTAGAGCAGGTTGCTCCAAGCCCCTGTGTCCAACCTGGCCTTGAACACTGCCAGGGATGGGGCATCCAGCCCTGGAATATTAATATTTAAATCAAACCAAATTAGGTTTTTTCTTCTTTTTTTTCTTCCTTTGCATAAGTGGAAACTTCACCTGGGACAAAATGTTTTATTTATTCCAGGTAAATGGAGCTGCTGCACTGCCCAGGCTGCTGTTGGAGGAGACCCTTGTGTGGTGGCCCTTCTTCATCAGGGTGTTTTGGCTTCAGGGCATGAGGTTTGATTCCCTCCTTCACAGCCTGACCCCAAGTGCGAGCAGAGGCTGCAGGCTAGGAGGGAGTTAGGATGAAGTGCAGTAACAAGGGCAAGCTCCTTCCCTTCCCTCCATGAGCTTAAAGGCACCAATAGTTCAAGCAGATGCTCTGGCCGTGGTGGGGCTGCCCTCACCCACATCAACTGAGCATCCCACCCCTCTGAGCCTTCTGGTTTTTAATTAAGACAAGTTTTTCACCACTATCTTACTTCCTTCTGCATGGAAAATCAGAGAATGGGTCGGGTTGGAAAGGAGCTTAAGATCATCCAGTTCCAATGCCTGCCATGGGCAGGGACACCTCACACTAGACCATGTTGCCCAGAGCACAAGTTCTTCCTACATCTGAAGGTCTGGGTTGGTTTTGCTCCTTCTCCTCCAATGTTTTCCCATATTCTCGCTAGGAGGAGCCTGCAAACCCTGTGCTGGGTTTCCAAAGCTCAAACCACCTCCACTTGTAAACCATGTCCATCACTCAGCCAAGAAACGAGCCTTTTACGTAAGAACGTTTATTGACAGAAATACATGATGCTTTCAAAATATATTTGTAGGAAAATGCAAGAATAATCTCTACAATCCAGTTCCTCAGTAAATTCCAGTGTAAATCAGACTCCTGTCCCCATGAGAGATGCTGCTATACAGTACGTAAGAGCTCTAGTATATGTGCAAGGTTCAATGGGTAGCCACCTTTGGGAAATAGGTTCTCCTTCTGCAGTCCCTTATGGATTATGTCTTCTCCTCTGTGTCTTCTGTAGGCAACAACAGTCACAGTATCCACCTCAGCGCTTGGGTCATGGCACTGTGAGCGGGAGATAAATGGTCCTGAAGTATTTACACGTTCCTTGTGAATGTGAAGATAGAAAAGTCTCTTGCAAGGACATGTGAGCTGCTTGTAAAAGTCTCACCCGGAGGTAAGAGCAAGAATCTCTTTGTACAACGTGTGGGATGTTAAAGCTGGTCTGGGGGAGAGAAGAGGAGCGTGGGGAAGGGAGGAAGGAAATGCTGGGGTAGATTTGTTTTACCTATTGTTTTTGGTCTAACAGTTATGGCTACAGTCTGTGACGGGAAGGATTAAGGCCAAAGATGCTCAATCGCTGCATTTCCTACCTGATTGTTTCTCTTTTTTGATCCCAAAAAAGAATGTTCTCAACATAAAAAACATACTGTTTTGTTTTCTTTTTCCCATGGAAATAGTTCTTTAAATAGGGGGAAGGAAAAATCTACTATAAAATATTAGTGGTTTAAAAATATGGTGTCTGGAAAAATAAATAAATGTACAATTCCTATTCAAATAGAAATCACTATAAGCACTTGCTGAGCAGTCAACACCTCCACTGGGCTCTGCAAGGAAAGATTTCAGGTTGCTTCATCTCAAGCCTTGTGAAGGATTCTCTTGGAAAGTCTTTGGACCTGATTCATTAAAGCACTTTGGCATCTCTTTGCTGGGAAGGGGGATCTTTAGGCACGTGCCCAAACCCAACTGCCTGGAGGCGCTCTGCCAGGGGCATCCCCGCAGCAGCTCCTGTGGCCAAACCCCTGTGTTTTGGCTGCATTTATCCCATGCCGAGGGCAGGAACACGAGGTTACTCTGTTCCTTGGGGCAACAGGGAAGCGAAGGTGCTCAAAGAGCAACTGCAAATGCCAAGACTGGCTCTTTGAGCCTTGCTACAGTGTTAAAGAGGTGAACTTGGTGCTGCTGTGGCACAGGGTTATGTGGGCAGGAAGTGTTGTCCTGCTTTATGTTGAATTTGATCCCCTCCAGACTGGCCTTTAGCTTTTTCTTTCCTTGTTTTTTGTCTTTTAACCCCCCTCCCCTCCAGAATGACTTCCCCACAGTGCAGTGCAGGGGTAAGTGAAGTGTGCTGGGTACATTGCTGATGAGTAGCAGGAATATTTACATACAAAAATATATGGGTTTGAACACTTCAAACTCTTCCCTTCGGTGCAGGAGAGAAGGGAGAAGAGCCAGGCCCTTGGAGAAGACACATCTTCTGCCAGCTTCTATCCCAGGGCTGACCAAACCACCCCGACCCCCTCCTTCACGTGTATTCCCAAGGACCGAATCGATCCAGGTTTCTCCAAGCTTTCCATTGCCTGGCTCCGCTTTTCCCCTCATTCAGGGCAGCTGTGGGAGCGGATCCCCATTGTGTTGACTTGGTGGCAGAGCCCGAAGGGAATTGGGTGTTGTGCGTTAGTGAATGCCTGGTTTATGGCAAGCAGGGGAGAAGAAAGGCCGTGCTCAGGCATTGCTCTTCATCTGCAGCTCCTCTGGCTTGCAGAGGGCTTGGGACCACCACATCCTTCTGTACTGGGAGATGCTCTCACCCAAATGACCTTCTGGTCCTCTTCTCCCTTTCCCATGTGCTGGAGGATGGAGCCTCGCTCTGATCCCTGCCTCTGCCAGGGCTGAGCTGCTTCCCTGAAGCCAGAGCTAAGGTGGGAAACTCTCCCCATCCTTTTAGAGCCATTCAGGAGCTGTGATGGGGAGTAGAAAACCAGAAACAGCCTCAATCCAAGCACTTTCTGCTCCTGTGTGTTCTTCTTTTCCCCTTTAAAGACTTACAGCAAAGGGAGACCTGGACAAGAGACCAGGGGCTTCAGGGCTTCAGGACAGGGCTCAGTCTCAGCTTTGCTGCTGGTCTCGTATTTTACTGGCTATTGAAGAAGAGCTTGAGGTTGTGAACTGAGCTTCTAAACCAAACACCAAGGGCTGTACCAATGGAAAACCTGGAATACCACCAAGCTACCTGGTTCGTGCTGCTGTTCTTTTCCCTCTTCTGCTGCTCATGCAGGAAAACATGACCACAAAACCCACAAACCATCACGGTGCATGTAACCCACGGCCTCAGGGGAAGATGGATGTGGGCTGTGAGATGCTGCTGGGTAATGACTGGAAGGCAATCAACACTTCTGTACGAGAGTGCACCATGAATCCCAGACTGGTTTGGGTGGGAAGGGACCTTACAGCTCATCCAGCTCCAACCCCCTGCCACAGGCAGGGGAACCGTCCCCTCGAGGCAGGTGCGCAGGGACACCTTCCACTAGAGCAGGTTGCTCCAAGCCCATGTCCAACCTGGCCTTGAACACTGCCAGGGATGGGGCAGCCACAGCTTCTCTGGGAAACTTGTTCCAGCACCTCAGCACCCTCACAGGGAAGAACTTCTTCCTTGTATCTAACCTGAACTTCCCCTGTTTCAGTTTGAACCCATCACCCCTTGTCCTGTCACTACAGTCCCTGATGAAGAGTCCCTCTCCAGCATCCAAAACCCCCAACCTTGTGCCTGGGCCAGTGACCAGGCATTGCTCTTGGTCTCATTTCACGCTTCCTTGGAGGAATGTACTCAAGGAGTTATTCCTTATCCTCTCCCTCCCCTTTGCATCAATACAAGGAGCTGCTGTGCCTCTCCTGGTCTCCTCCTGGGTTCAGGATCCATCCCACAGGATGGAGCATCCCTTGGCACTGCTGCATCCCTCCCATCCAGCTGGGTCTGGATGTGTTCATTTGCCTATGGCACCACACAGGGTCTTGTGCGTTTATGGGGAAAGGATGGAAACTGGATTAAAACTCAAGGAACAGGCTGTTCCACTCGATACCCGGGTGTTGGGGAGGGCCAGAGGACTTTCTAGCTCTAATTGCTGTTGGGAGATGTGCTCCCTCTCCCACTCTATTGACATCTATTTCTCTTCGTCTCTGAGTGATTCGATAGCTGGAGGATGCAGTTGGTGTGGTTGGAAATGGGATGGGAGGGGACATGCTCAGAGGAGACACCAGCAGCTCTTCAGGAGCAAAGGCACCCCATTAGCCCATGGCTGGTGTGGTAGGTCCTGCTGAGCACCCATAGGTGATGGAGATGCTTGTCCAGATGAGGCCACCACAAGTGGCTTATGTTGATGATGCGCCCCAGAGGTGTCTTCTCATGTCCCTTCCTCTTCCATGGCACAAGGGGCCATGATTAGTTCATGAATGGTTTTTTCTGAGGTTTGTTGGGATTTCTGCCTTGTTTTGGAGTTGTGTGTGTGCGTGTATGTAGGAATTGTGGGGTTCTTTTTGGGGGGTTGGTGGTTGTTTGTCTGCTTGATCGAGTTCTGCATCTTATAGATGCGTGTCCTCCTCTTCCTCTAGGTCCTCCTTCATGAGGGTGTCGAGAGGCACAATCCAGCTGTCCCCCAGCTCCCCGTTGAGGTTCACCTTCTTCTCCTGCATCTCAGAGGAGGTCTCCATCACCTCCAGCGTGGGGTTATCGTGGTACCCGTTCTCCATTGTCTGCAACTCCTCGGTCAGGCGCTGCTGCGAGGAAAGAAAACCCAGAAACCCCAGTGAGGAACAGCTTGGCCGCGCTGTGTGTGCCACCTTGGGGCTGTCACCTCCCAGCTTACCATGACCACTGCCCCATATCGATGGATATAACCACATATGGAGTCTTTCGTGGTGAGGTTGAGGCTGGGGGCTGCAGTCAGTGCCAGTGCAGCGAGGGGATTGCATGGAGCTGGCAAGAGAGAGACTCTGCTAATGGTGGAAGGGAGGAAAGAGCAGCCAGAGACATGTGGAAAACCTCCAGGAGCAGCTGCCAGCTTCAACCTGGCCATGGCTTGGTCCCTGGGGGACCTCGGGAAGAGGCTGAGCATCGTTGCCTAACCCAAACAAAGCATCCCAACTCCTACATCCCTACCTACACTGTTCTTTCCCTCCCCTTTATGCTCCCCTGTCCTTTCTTAGCTGCTTTATTGTTATTCTCCCCCTTGACCTGGGGCAAGATACTGCTGGCCCATTTGCCACTCCTCAAGCACCATCCCTCCTCATTCTGGAGCTCTTGGTGGAAACCAGGCAGGGAAAGATGATACAGGCACTGTATCACCCTCATCTTTTGGTACATCACGCTCCAGGCTCCAACCCAGCCCTTCATCCCCTGGCCCTTCTTCATTCTGCATTCACCACCATGGCTCCTTCATGCCCATCCTGCCCCGGAGGGATTCACCAGGGAGCTGCAGTCCTTGGTCAGCCCTTCTGGGGAAGCACAGGGCTCTCTGTGGGCACCCCTGTGAAATTCCACCTGGATTCACAGCCTGATTCATTACAGCGCTCCTAATAAACGTCAGGAGACAGGCATGGGAGGGAATCCACGGAGAAGGAAAGGGATGGAGAAGCAAAACTGCAGGTTTGGCACTAGCAGAGGGGGCTGCAAAGATGCTGCTGGGGGTCCCCTGGGTCCCTTCTGGCCACGGATGGTGGGATGCTCAAAAGCTTTTGAGAGGCTGTTTCACCCCATGGGGATGCTGGTACCCCAGCATGGATGGGTGCTCGGACAGCGCTTCCTCCCACCGTGGCAATGCACCCCCCAGCGTGCAGCAAGGGGAAGGGGGTCTTTAAAGCTGGGCTTTAGTAGGCTTTAGTCCTGTTAAAAGCTACTGAATCCTACCAAGCACCAGGGGTGAGAGCTGGGGTGTTATGGATGCGGCGCCCGCCCCTCCGATCCCTGTGTTGGAACTCACATTAAAGATCAGGGCCACATGTCCATCATCAAACCCGGGGAGATCAGGGTGGATGTGCTGGTTATTTCCAAGGTAAAACAGGGTTTAAAAGGGGGGAGGGAGGGAAAGGGTTGGAGAAAAATAAAAATAACAAAAAACTTTCAAGTCATTTTTTGGACAAGAAGCAGGAGGAAAACAAAAGAAACCACCCAAAAACAAATGCAGAGAGGAGAAAGGGGTTTGGTTTGTCTAAAAACCTGTTGCAACTGCTTGGGGAAGTCCTTTTCCCTGTGCTCTGAACAGGAGCTGTGCTCTAGGTTAGGGTTGGAAAGGACCTTAAGACCATCTAGTTCCAATTGGCATCCTTGCTTTGGTTTTGCTACCTCACCCTGTGGCTGGTGGGTACCGGCCTCCAGAGCATCCACAGGGCTGGAACCTTTTCCTCTGCACCACGTTACATGAGGGATACACATTCCCTTCATTAAAACTACCCTATTTCTACCTGTGTTCTGAACAACACAGGACCAGAGTGTTACACTGTCCCCTGTCCCTGCTGGGATGTTCTTCCCCCTGACCAGGGACATTTCAACCAATGGATGCTCTGAAACCCCATAAGCTCCAAGGGAACCACAGTGGAGGTCAAACAGGTCTTGCATCCTCTGCCCTTCCCTCCCCAAAAAGATCAAGCCTTCTAAACCCAAGACTGATGCTGCATCAGTTTCCACTTCTCTGCCTCCTGTGTTCATCTCTTACACTGCAAACATTTAAAGCAAAGGCCTTATCCTTCAGCATCACACAGCTCCTGGGGCTGAGGTTGGGACCCCGTGGGGAGGATGAGCTGGTTTGTGGGGAAATGACTTGAAGTAGGATGCAGGGGTTTGCTTCTCCATCAGGAGGGTGATTAACCCTAGTTTGGCCTTATTTCTACCCCCACTTTCTGTTGTTGTCTCTCCTCTGGAGCTAAATCCTCAGCAAGAGCAGGAGGGGCTGATGCAAACCTCTCTGTGGCAGAGCTCTTCCCACCAGCATGGGAATGGCCAGTCCTTGCAGGTGGATCCTGCACTAAAATCACCCCAAATTGCTTCCTGAGACAACAGTTACGATGATTTGGGGTTTCTCCATGTCTGTTCTTCCTTAAATCCTGCTGCTCTGAAACCGGGCTCTGGCCCAGCTCTCCCAGAGGCTGAGCCGTGCAGTGTCGATGCCCTCCTGTGGCTGCTGTGCAGCCATCCTGCACCCAGCCCCTGGCACCGACAGGGAGGCATCGGGGTGATGCTGGGCACCCAACACTGCTCCCCTACTCATAGGAGTATTTTAAGGGTTTTTTCTGGGGGGTATAGATGGGTTTAAAGGGGGATTTTGGGTTGGGAAAGCCTTTTTCTTCGCAAAACTATGACCCAAAGATGCAGCTCAGCTGCACTGTACCTTGGGTGGCAGCAGGGATGGGTGCTGCTGGTTTTCATCCTGCCTCAATGCCCCCAGATAGCAGCTCCTGCCCCTCCAGAGCACCCAGAGCACTTATAGAATCACAGCCTGGTTTGGGTTGAAAGGACCTTAAAGCTCCTCCAGCTCCAACCCCTGCCCCGGGCAGGGACACCTTCCACTAGAGCAGGTTGCTCCAAGCCCGTGTGTCCAACCTGGCCTTGAACACTGCCAGGGATGGGGCAGCCACAGCTTCTCTGGGCACCCTGTGCCAGCGCCTCAGCACCCTCACAGGGAAGAGCTGCTGCCTTAGCTCCAACCTGGACTTTCCCTGTTTCAGTTTGAACCCATCACCCCTTGTCCTGTCACTACAAAGAATAGGACTTGGGCACCCCTTGAGCAACACGCAAGGGTGGTACCCACTGGACAAGCCAGGATGTCTCTACCAGTAGGGGTGGCATCATGGATGATCTTCATCTGAAGATGCTTCTGGGTCAAAAAGGCCTCAGGGTCCCCATCCCACCCCTTTAACTGTACCTGGTCCTTCTTTTGGGAGAAGCGCTGGTGGCAGCAGCCATAGATGGCAGCGATCAGCAGCAGGGAGCCGGCCAGGGTGACAATGGTGATGATCAAGGGCGTGCTGAACTCATCCGTGATGACCATCTCTCTCTCCATTCTGTCATAGGTGATGTTGGCGATGCCGAGCTGCCACAGGAGGGACAGGTCAGGCCACAAGGAGGGCTTCCTGCAACACCC